ACAAGGCCAAGGGGTGAGCTTTCAGTAAATGATGTGATCATGTGTTACCGCAAAGGACTAGAATCAACAGCAATATAATTCACTCCTTGGCAAAATTTAGTTAGGACACTTCTCTAGAGAAATGTCTATGATGTTCCTCTGCCCCTCTTCCCACTCCAATGCTGTCAATTTCCAATCATGTTTCTAAACCATCTTCAAACCAACATTGAAAGGGGCTGGGAAAGTAGAGATCTCTAAACAAATGTGTCTGGGAGTGTAGGCCAGCTCCTTTGTGAAATTAATTTAGATTTCAGAAGGTAATGAACCAGATAAATAAATTGCATATATAAATATATATATATATATATATATATATATATATATATATATATATATATATATACACACACCTTGAGCGGGTGTGTCCTGATCCACTGAATGCTCAAAAGTTTCTTGTTGCCCTGCATCCTTGCTGGAACTTGATGTTAGTAATGTACCACCATCTGCCATGATAAAAAAACCCACCGCTGGTCAACTTAAAGAGAAACCTGATGAAAAAGGCCTGCTTTATGTTTATTCCCAATTCAGTAAATATATCACTGAGCTCGGTTCAAAGGAGCAGACATGAGAATTTTAATCAGAAAGTATTCCCAAAACATTAAAATTGAAAGAGTAACCACATGAAAACAACAATAAAGTGACAAAGAATCATGAATATTGCAGCACAAACAAGGCCACAGGGTGAACTTTCAGTAAATGATGTGATCATGCGTTCCCACAATAAACTAGAATCACCAGCAATATAATGCACTTTGGGAAAAATTTAGCTGGGACATTTCTCCAAAGAAACATCTATGATGTTCCTCTGCCCCCTTTCTCCTTCCAGTGCTGTCAATTGCCAATCATGTGTCTATGCCATCTTGCAAACCAACATTGAGAGGGGCTGGGAAAGCAGAGATCTCCCAACAAATGTGTCTGGGACTGTAGGCCAGCTCCTTTGTAGAAATTAATTTAGATTTCCAAAGGTAATGAACCAGATAAATAAATTGCATATATTGCTGGTAACATTCAAGACCCTAAAGATGACTTGAAAATACACTACACTGAACAAACCAGGAGTTACTAACCTGAACATATCCGTTTCCTATCAATCTCAGAAAACAGAACAAAAGAAATCTGGTTATTGTTGTCAAGAGTAATGGCACCCACAACAACTGCCTCCTCATCAACTGTAATTGTAATTGGAGCTCCAAGGCCTTTTCGATGATCTTTGTAAAATCTAGAGCTTTCCATCTTTCCCGAAATGTCGTCAGCGATATATGTTTCTTTGTCTGCAATTCCCTTCACCTGGTACGGTGTTATGGTAAATGGCCCTCCGGAACTCTCAACGACTTGACAATATAATTGATCATTTCTTAAATCTTTCCTTACTTTAGTGGGTATGGTAAATAGAGGCTGATATAGCGAACCCAAAATACGTTTTTTTTTAAAGTTAAGTTTGTTTGGGTCAACAGGCACAATTGTGAGGCCTGATTTGAAGATCACATCGTCAGACACCAAATCAACTAATTTCTTCGGTTCTTCTCCTTTGTCTTTTGATTTCTTGAAATACAAAGAGTAGCAATTTAATTTATCAGATGAAATAACCTTGTCGCTTGTGACCAGATGAATTTTTTTATCACACTTGGGAAAGAAGTCCTTTATGAGGCTCCCGGTACCAATGAACTTGCCGTTCTGCTGAGGAACGCTTTCCCATATCCCACATGTAGCTAAGATGCACTTAGGTTCCTTCTTTTCGGTTTCGTTACTCGAAGAAAAATCCATCGCCCCAGCAAGGAAGGATCCACTCGAACTTGACATTTCTTTCTCATCAGACTCTTATTCTCCTATCTTTAAAAATCTAGCAAATGGCAGAGGATATGCAGAACTCAGCATGGTACCAATACAATTTACGTTTCCTAGA